ATTATCACTGTAACTTGATATGGGAAATTCTGTAGCAGATTTTACTACCTTCACCTCCGCCTCCGGCTACGTTTCTCCCAAAATTTATTGCTTGCAGAGGGTTTTTCTGTGTTCCCATGGCTGGACGGAACTTTTACACTACAAATGTTATCATAAATTATGATGTTGTAACTTTTAAATGAAGTACCTGTGGATATTTAGGAAATTTGTCACTGATAATGGAAAGATGAAGCAGACGATGACACATGACGTAAGATGTTGTTGTCCAAACTTCGGTTATTTCCGTGGTACAATAAAATTTAAATAAACTACACAAGTTACTAAAATTTCTAAATTCTTGTTTTTGTAAACAAATAAAAATTCATGTCGTATTTAACATCGAATTTATTCCGTTTTGTCCCGTTTTTTCAAGATCGCGATTAAACGAGAATCTGGCAGCCATTAAGAATATAAGGGTTAAACTAATGTCCAGAAATTGTCCTTACGGATATTCCAATGCTAATTTCGTTTTCATTATTTGAAGAATTGACCTTATATTTGGAGCCAAGCAAGAATATAATGTTTATTTAATAAATATAAGGAAAAAAAAGAAAAAAAATATTGTTAAGAGTTAGATAACTTGACTTGATCAACTTCGAAAATTAAAAAAAAAAATTGTACGAGATTTTACGAGAGTGACGAAACTTTTTAGATTGATCATGTAGAGAGAGTTATCGTTCTTTATTCCAATTCGATGCTTCTACCATAAGTGCCAGCTAAAGCTGGCATATTAGATATGTTTGTATTTGTGTTTGCTTGACCCATATGGGTGTATTTTGCAAATAAAATTATTATAAAACATGAGAGGAATCAAATGCAATGTACTGTTCAGTTATGAACCACAGATATTGACCAGTTATCTTCAGATCAAATGTTTTCGTACGTCACATGAATTCGTACTATGCATGTGTTTTTTCAATGGAAATTATGACGTCACAATGCATTCTAAATAGCACGAAAACCCATAATACGAGGATACAAGCACCTTCTTAGGGATTTTTTCGATTTTTATTTTTATATCAAAAACAAAATTTAAATTGCTTTTTGGGCTAGGGACATTCTTTTATTATACACATGTCATACACAAAGGGGTGTCTAAATATCACATAGAAAGTTGTTAAACCAAACCAGTCCTGTGAAAGATTTCCTGTTGTCAGAGACTATATAACACCTTATCCCTATTTGTCCGCCATTTAATACTGGACATCACAAAGGTTCCCGTAAAATTTTGACGTCATAATAAAAAATGTTTGGTGCCACAAAGAAAAAGTAATTGTTGTATGACGTCAGTTGTTCAAGTGTCGCAGATTCCCAAATAGCGATAAGGTCTAATGTGATGGGATTGCTTCCCTTGCACAGTAGATACTTAGCTAGCTGTAAGCAGTTGAGCTAAGGAAGTACTTCTTTAGCTCAGTCGGTTAAAGCATTGACTTGTAACACAAAGGTCCCAGAATAGACCATGCAATTTTTTATTAAGAATCATGCTCTCCTGTTACACAACAGCACCCAAGATTGGCAAAATATGTTTATTGCAGTTTCCCAGAGAACTCCCAAAAAATCATTATGATTTATGAACCTGGGAACCAATAGATATTATCTGAAAAATTTACTGTATATGGAGTAATACATCTTTTATTGTAAATAAAGTCTATAATTTTGAGATATATGTCATTTTACTCAATGAAAGTACAATTTAACTTCAGGAATTCAATTTGTGTGTCTTTTTATATGTAAGTTCCCATCTGGACTCTGGCAGACATAATTATTCAAACTTGATCCTTGACTGCTTAAGGTTTGTGCATGGTACTTTTATAGTTTTAATTTTTTCTAATTAAAATAAATATCTTTATTGGTTAAAATTTATAACATGGATAAATAATTATGTACATTGTACCTTTGGAATAATTATGTCCACCATATTGTTATACTAGGAACTTGCTTGTAAGACACACAATAGATTTCCTGAAGTTAAATTGTACTTTCATTAGGTAAAAATGACAAATATCTCAAATTTATTGTCATAATTATCAATAAAAGGAGTATTATGCGATAATTTAAAATATAAAATTGAGGTTTCGGTTAATATCTTTCAGTTCTCCTGCTCATTATGACATATTGAGTTTTGGGGAATTTGTTGTACCCTTTGCTTCAGTTGATAATGTCTTCTCGGGGAATACTGTAAATTCAGAAATTATTGCGTGCATTTATTTTTGCGATTTTTGAAGAATGGACAAAAATGTGAGATTAATTATTGCGATTTTCAAGAAAATCTGGATACATTATATGTATCGAAATTCAGAATGCGAGTTCTTATTATTGCGATACTCATCCAATCGCATTATTCGCATTAATAAAAACCTCGCAATAATTTCTGAATTTACAGTAATCTGCTCTATCACTCTCTCAGCTATGTGTTATTTATATACTTGCCAATCTGAGGTACTACATGCTATAAATGTCTCGGCTATTGTTGGCAGAATAAGAATAGACATACACATTTCTGATTTGTCAATCCAGAGTTATTGAGCTTTAACTGTAAGATTTAGGATAATTTTTCAAATGAAGCACACTAGCAGTGTACTCTAATTTGCGTGGATCAAGTTATTTACAAATTTAATACTGTTGTTGGGATTTGTGAATGTCAGGTGCAGAGGTAAAATAGTTATATTGTAAATGCTTATAAATGTACAATATTAGGTCATTGTCAGAAAAATATCAAGCAAGGACAAGGTTTTTACATTTTCCTGACAGTGGCCTAAAATGTTTTCATACTGCAGCTAAAAATAGCTACAATAACAATTTATGAATATGTTAACACAAAAATAAAACTTATTTTACATCCCTAGATAAACCCCATATCCTGATTCCTGAAGAATAGTCATGTGACATGAAATCTACATTCCAGGAACTATCCCTTTGTTACTATAAATTCTAGATAAAGAAAACAGGAAGTTTTTTAGGTGAAGTGTAAATGCAGTACGTTTCATTTTCAAAATTGGGTTTTGATCAAATAGTATGTGACCTACATGTTGCTCCAACATAGTATGGGATCAAAACCCAATTTTGATGATGATGGATTGTTGATTAACATCCAGTGGCAAATTTAATGCATATTCAAGATGAGAACATGTTATTGTTATATGAATTTTAACTGGCTGGCCTGCTTAGAACTAGAATGACAAGCTGAGCCAGATTTTTTTTGGTGCTAGTTCACCAGGTAACAGTCTGCAGGAAGGCATGTCACCCTATTGGACAAATTATTCTGACTCCAAGTCGGCAGTCTTAATGTTGCGAATTTAGTTCAGAAGCAGCAAATATCAATTTTAAAGTCTTTGGTTTTGTGCCTGCAGGTGTTCAAACCCACGACCTCCCGCACTCTAGGTGAATTCACTACCAGGAGACTACCGAGGCTCCCAATTTTTAAATGAATCTTTATTTATGATTATTTATTTCAAGGATATTTATAAAATAAGTTTTTTTGGTAAAAGTTTGGAATCCGAGTAACGTCTTCTGCATAAATATCTACAAAAATGGAATTATTTTTACAATATATCTATAATGTGATAAAATGATGACACAATAATTCATAAGTGAGCTATTCTGACTCAGAGGAAACTCCAATTATGCACTCAATGTTATACGCAGCAGTGCTTTGGTACAAATTTACAAAGAGAATGTATATATATAATTACTTTAACTGTCATCACTATTGCCTGAATTATGCCTTACCTACATTTTTACATCGCGATGACCTTGAGGTCATTCCGATGTATTGCTATCGCCTAGATTTCCATTATGTAAATTAGTTTTGGGTTTGTAACCGATCTATAAACATGATAAATATGCGCACATAAACGAGTGCAAAATAACATTCCTTGTCATTTGATATAAATACATCTCTTCAATGAATACTGATAAAAATATTTTTGTTTACAACATAAATTAATAATGTGAAAATGTTTTGTAGTTAGATATATATATATAAGTAAAAAATCATTGATAATATCAATGCACACGTACCGAAAAATTGTGTTAAAGCATGCGGAAGAATATCTCAATGAACGTTTTGCGACAGGACCGGTAACTCTGTAATTGTTTTTGCGGGAAAATATGAATGCCTACTCGTATCCAATCTTAGAAAAATCAAATTTTTACAGAAAAGTGTCCACCATGCACTTGCATTGCACTATTATTAGAACAGTAGAATAGAATGATATACAAACGGATGCAAATCATATATATATGTAACTGTTATTTTAATATAATATATTGCAACAAATCAGTGTATACTGATTTGTATCACTACAATATAATAGTTATTACGGTGAAGTTGAATTTCCTGTCATTTATTCATCATACTCGCACGCACTTGTCTAGAAAAAAATATATCTCTGTACATTAACCTCAGTTTCAGGTAAAGAGATATGTTGTTGTTTTTCTGAGACAAGTGCTTTTGACCATCCTCAAGAACTTGTGGTCATCCGATGTTCAGTACTTCAGTACTTTGATTTTTATCCCTGTAAGATTTTAAAGATAAAATGAGATTAGAACTAAAGATGATGTTTGTAATCAGCAAAATCATACAGGGAAACATCTCAGGTTGGAGATATATTTTTTCTAATAATAATTCATGTCAGCTGGAATGGCCTTTATATTTCTTGCTAGGTACCCATTCTATTATATATATAAGGTTAACTCTTATCAAACTAATATTAGTTCAGGTGTTCAAATTCAGATATATGGATATACATTGGGAGAGAGGGACCTCATTTGTTTCATTAATGTTGGAGGTGTCAGAGCTAGGTCTATAAGGATCATTCATTTGAACACGAATGATTTAAGAAAAAAACTGACTTAATTTCAAACAGTCTGTTGATAAAAAGGAAACATGATAAGCATTTATTTATTTGCATTTGGATTTATTCACTGTTCAATTCTATCTATTGACTAATGCATTTAAATTTAAACCATTTGATATATAGATTAACAATCAATATTTAGGACACACAATAAATCGTACAGAATTTTAATGTTTATATAAGGTAAATTTGAATGGGTGCTTTCTGAATGATTTTTAAATTGTATAAGATGCTATTTATGTGGAAAACAACATTGTTTGTAAGTTAAAGATGATCATGTTTTGATTTTTTATGGTGTGTAATTTAATAACGGGTAGCATTCATTAATTGTTCATGGATTGTCGACCTGTTACGATTGACTGACTTGTAATCGATGTGATATATAAATTGGAGTTTTTTCCTTATTTGTAAGTACTTAATTTTTACCAATGTAAATTTCTATTACGATGAAGAAGTCTTATACATGTATTTATTTTATCTGTAAATAATATGCATGCTTATCAGCTTTGTGCAGTAGAATTCTTCAGAATACTTTGAAATAAGGACAGTGTGCTGAAAAAAGGGGGCAATTTTTCCATAATTTTGCAATAAAATTTAGTAATCAGGACTTTTTGTTAAAGAGTGTAGATGCTCCACTCCTGCATTTTATAGCACCACCCTTCATTTTAATTCATTATTTAGTATCATGAAGTATGATTGAATATTAGGGACAGATTTGGAAAAATTACTGTCAGCAGAATTCAGGAAGGACACATGTCCTTCAGTTAGGACCAGTAAAACGCTTCTAAAAGAATAAAATGGGATTTGTACTAGAATTTATGTCTGATAACATTTTGGGAACTCTTGGTTACATAATTATTGAATGTCCATATGAATATTATAATTGGTTTTTGTCCTGAATTTGCATGAAATATTTGCCACTGGATATAAAGCATCCAAGAATTCATGAATAAATTTGAAAATATGTTATATTCTAAGAGGAGTTGGATCGGGATGTAAGGGGTTGGTGAGGTCTAATTGTATTATCATGATAATATGGATACAGAATCATTTAGATTAATATCATGATGTGTAGTAAAGGCTTTTGAACTGTTGTATGATCTTCAGCTTTTGGGTATTGATGCAGTGCAATTCAATTTGTTTTGAGCCATAGTATTAGTTATTCAACATTGTTTTTTTTATGTTTTCTCAACTGTCTGGGTGGCAACAAGCTCAATGTCAGGTCTACAAATGTAAATGTTGGATGCTTTTCTAATCTTCTGTAGAGTATTTCATGGGAACAGATCAATGAGATTTACAATTTCAAGCTAATTTAACAATTACATTTAACATCAATCTTGTAGATCGAAAATATAAGTTGGCTTTAGCCAAGTCAGTACTGTTAAACAGGGTGATACTACTATCATGATAGCTTGAATTAGTTACTGCTACAAGATCAGTGGACTTGATTGTCCGGCAACAAATATGATAAAATTGTTGACAAGTTAAGATTTTTGATCAAGTATTTATTTAAGTGTTATCAGAAGTTTTGTTATTCTATATCAAGGTAATGTTTGTACACATGTTGACATTGTATATTTTAGTAATTGATTTGTTTTGATCAATAATCAATAAATCTTATATTGTAAACTTCAAAGAACTTTTGTAATACATATAGTATACTAAAGATTAATGGTTAATATTTGATCAATTTTGTTTGACATGGAACAGGTACTTTGTAAATGTATACTGATGGGAAAACTCTGCTTGGAGTCAAATGCTGCATTAAAAACTATAAATAGTATTGAATTATAAAACAAAAATGTATAGCTCAAGAGGTGTGAGCCCTTGCTAGTTTATGAAGGCCTAATACACTAAGACTTTGAAATAATGAGAACAACAAAACAAGACCTTTTCTTTGTTTTGAGTTTTGTCAAGTGCATTTAGGGGTTTTGTGAGATTAATTAATACACCATATCTCAATTTTCCATTATCTAGTTCACAAAGTAATGGTTATCAATTTCATATGTTTTAAAGTTTGAATTAATTATAGATACTGTAAATTCAGAAATTATTGTGAGGTTTTTATTAATGCGAATAATGCGAATAGGTGAGTATCGCAATAATAAAATCTGGCATTCTGATAACTAATACAAATATCTGTACATATAAAGTTCTGAAATCACAATAAATAATCTTGTATTGAAAATTGTTGTCCATCTAAAAAAATCAATAAATTGGTTCCTTCTTTTAACTTGAATTAGTCAACTGGTGTACATGTGTATTCACATAGATGGTATTTATGAGGACATGCAACTGCAGACTTAATTTTTCTGGTACAAGTTTTTTTTTTTTCAGAGACTTTTATAACTGTGTGTTTGTTTGGCACTCTTGCTTACAAGTACAGTTAATGATACATTGGGGTTACTGTCTCATTGACATGTAATAGCCAATAGTTCTCTTCGTATTGGAAAGTGATATTCTCTGCAGATTATTAACCAAAAGTTGGATGGCATATTTCCCTCTCTTGTGCTTTTTGCAATATCGCATGCAAAAACATTTTAACATGGTGTCCTGTCAATTTTAAGTAATGCCACTACATAATAGAATTACTAGTATTGCACAAAGATGTTTATACAATAGAATAGCCTAATCAGGACAGTATTTACCGATATAAGTGCAATAAGCTTTTGCTATTATATCATAATGCACTCAGTAATTCGTTTGTCCTGCAAGTGCGTTCATTTCATTAACGTAACATTTAAGGAATGGACTTACCGGACAAAGAAGAACAAGAGATATATTAAATGCACTTTAAGTATAGATAAGTCATCAATATAAAAAAATGAATTTATTTTTCAGATAAATGAGTAATATAACTTAGGAATACAATACAAGATGCCTTTGATGATTGAGGGTAAACCCATTGGTGGCGTACCAAAGACAGTACAAGAATTCCTTGCTAAATACGACTTCAAAGTAACTATGAACTTACTTAACAATTGTAATATGGTATATTGTATCAATACTAAATCGGCAGACCTGTTAAAACTAGCAGACAGTACTCCTGACATTTGATCAGATTGCGTCTGAAAATTTGAATGTTGGAAAAAATATATAATCTGACCTTCAAAGAAACTTTGGTAATATATTTGTCAGTTAATCAATACTTAAAATCTTCCTGACTTTACATCAGATCAGAACTAAGTGCCAGATTGTCTTTTTTGGTCATTTTTGATTTCAAGTCTAATGGACTGGGGAAGTAAGTGATGTAATTTGTGTCCTAGCAAAAGAGTTACAAATATGAGCAAAATTTTTATTTTCTATCACATGTGATTACAAGTTCAAAGACTATTGAAATCAAGAAACAAATTATACTCTTTGGTTCAAGTATACTTTAATATTCTTCTTTTTATGTCCATGTCAGTAAGAATTAAATGTATTAATTTGAAATTGTCAATCTGCCAGACCCAGTCCAATGGCCCCTGACCACATTTCACAATGGACCCTAGACAGCTTGACACTTATGAAATTGTAATAAATTTTGGCAAACATGGGGTAATGGTTTTCTTATATTGCAAAACTGCACTATGAGTATTTGTGTATAATTGAACTTGTCATCACCTAAGATTATAAAATATGATAACCCATAATTTAAATCACAGAAAAGCCTTTTATAGTACAATTAATATTATGATGTAGCATAAAAACTATTTAATAAAAATCTTGTTTTGGATTTATGATAAATTTGTAGCTAATTTTTGTTAATGAAACTGTTTGTCTTACACAATGTTTTCTCAACATAAAGTTTATTATACTATACAGATACAGATGTGTGTGTTGAATATTGTACTATGTAATTTTATAATGTATACTTTTATGAGAATTAAAAGATGCCAGTATATAGAAGACCATTACTTGTGTCTTTTTTAAGAATGATTGTGTTATTTGGTTGTCTTGTTGACATTAACCCACAACTCCCTTTTATTCATGTAAAATGTTATGAACTTCTTAAGTATATATATTTGATATTATGAAAAAAAATTTTTGCTTATTCTTATTCATACATCAAACTGTTTGTTTTCTTTTTTGAATTGTTTCACATTTTGTCATGCCGGGGCCTTTTATAGATTACTATGCAGATTTGCTCAGGTTTTGAAGCCACACTTTGACCTTTAAATGTTTAAATCCTGTCATTTGGTCTCTGGTGGATAGGAGTCTCGTTGGCAATCATACCACATCTCCATATTTATATATTGTACGCACAGGACATTTTACATTTTTTTAAATTTTGGATAAAGCAATAAAACTGTATAAATATTAAACTTTGCACCCCCCCACCCACCCAAACCCTGCTCCCTCCCAAATAAAAGAAAAAAATGAGAAGAATATGCTGTGTTTTTGGAGAAATATTATTTAAATCTTGCCTACATCTTTGATATCGACAAAATCCTCCAAAAGAACTTCACAAATTGTCCTCCAAATTTAGATCCTGGTTTTCACTATAGTTCAATTTCATGTATAACTGTCTACTATATAATGCTGTTTTCCATCACTTTGAATAATTCACTTCAACATAACAGGAATTCAGGATACTGTACTATATATTGCTGTTGTGTACAGTAAATTGCTGCTTGGTTCTATATATTGCTGTTGTGTACAGTAAATTGCTACTTGATTCTATATATTGCTGTTGTGTACAGTAAATTGCTACTTGGTTCTATATATTGCTGTTGTGTACATTAAATTGCTACTTGGTTCTATATATTGCTGTTGTGTTAAGTAAATTGCTACTTGGTTCTATATATTGCTATTGTGTACAGTAAATTGCTACTTGGTTCTATATATTGCTGTTGTGTACAGTAAATTGCTACTTGATTCTATATATTGCTGTTGTGTACAGTAAATTGATACTTGATCCTTAATATATGTTTTTTTTTGTAGTGAACTTGAATATTTATTGTTTGTGTTGTTTTACCATAACAAAATATGTTTGTTCATTTTATATTATTACCAGTATAAATTTTATTGTTGTAGGATTCTTCTAATAAGTTGAAATCAGCTCCACTTAAAAAGGTAGCCCCTATAGGGTTGTTGTATGTTGGACAGAGAGAATTTGCAGCCACATCACCTGAAGATGGTAAGTCAGTCAGAAGTTGAAAAAGAAGTTGTCCTGTATCATAGACCTTTACTGTTCAAGTTAGGACTTATATTGACATTATTTATGTTTGAAAGTTCAAAGAACAATGAACTCTGGGTAAATATTTTATGCCTTATACATGGGAGGTAATTTTGATTTGAAGTTATCTTTCTGTCCACCTGATTTGGTTAAGTTTTGCATTTAGATACATTTTTTCTGAGAAGTCTTATGGTATATATATATATATATATATCCGTGACAGTCCAAGTAAACTTATCATATCAATTTTAGTGTACATGTCATATTTTGGTAATACTCTTCATTAAGTTTGGGGGGCCTGGGGGCCCAGTGGTCTAAGTAATCCAACTAATGTACCACTAGCCTGTCAACACTGAGTTTGGGAGTTCAAATTCCGCATGTGGCAGGTGCCCTCGACTCCAATCTTAATTGACTAGGATTGTTAGCTTTCCTACCAAAGGTTGGTGGTTCTCTCTGGGAACTCCGGCTTCCTCAACCCATTAATACTGACTTGCAAGAAATAGCACTCTAGTGCTGAAAGTGGTGTTAAACACCAATCAATCAATCATTAAGAATGCTGTAAATGAAAGATTTAGCCAACTACATACACTTTTTTAGGGATTCAAAATCAATAAGGGATAAGCAGCACAGTGAAATACTTTCTTGTAGAATTAACAAACTTATAATATACAATTAAATTGAAGTCTTGCCAGTAGATGATATCTTATTCTTTATCCAGTATAGATAAATTCATAATACTTTGCAGTTTACATCTGATAAATTTTACATTTAGGTACATTTGTCTTAAACCTGTCAAGTGGCTGTTTTCTTCTCATTTTTCACAGCATTTGCAAGTCATTCCTTCTTGGTATATGCAGAGTCTTTATTAGTGAGCAATAACTTGCAGTTCATCTTGTTATAAAGAAAACTATTTGGGTATTTAATCTATTAAAAATTCTTTATGATGTACAGTATCATATGAAATTTTATATTTCATTTCATTCATTTGTCACTGGATTTTTTAAACCATTGTTTGCATCAAATGAAAGTAAAATGATATACTTAAAGTTATTTGAGAAACATATTTATTGTCATTTGTCATGCAAGATTCCCAATTTCCATGTTTTAAAGTTGTTTTCATATGTAAATTAAAAAGTGATTTTGTTTATTTTTTCAGAGAAAATACATGTAATGGGATCAGAAGATGCTACAACTTGCCACATAGTAATAATAAGACATACAGGTAATATATATTAAAAGGTTTCCTCCTAAACAAATACATGCACACACAAAATATGCATTAGCATATACTTTAAATTCAGAAATTATCCTGATGTTTTAATTAATGCGAAAAAGTAGCAGTATCAGGTTCACAATAATAAAAAATGCATTCATAATTTCAGTAGGATTTTCCTTCATAAAATGTTTGCAATCACATAAATAGATTTTGCATTTTTGCCAGGTGTCAAGGATTCTCAATAATAAATGCATGCTTTAATTTCTGAATTTACAGTAGTATCACCCTCTCAGTTAATCTGACAATGTTAATACAACATCTTTTTATAGTCAAAAAGGATTTCAATGAAAAAGCACAAACAGATTACTGTTAATGCTGCATGAACAAAAATAGTTCTAGCCAGCTAATTTTAAAGGGAGATAATTGCAATTTCATCTTGAATTTTTTTTGGATCAGAGTGTCATATTGTGAGCTTGTCACATACAACCTTTTCAAAAAATTCAATTTGAGATTATATTTTCAAAGGTAAATTGCAGAATGACATAAACTATGTTGTTTGTGGGGAGATCATACCCTCCCACATTTTAATGGAATAACCCTTTTACTGCATGTGACCTTTCAGGTTGTGGAGCGGTGTGTATAGCTCATTTTGATGGTTATGGATCAGACAAAGCTGTCCAAGATATCATGAAAGTAATGAACGAGTTGTGTAAAAATAAACCATTCGGCAGGTAGGTTGCATGTCATATAAAGATAAGAAGATGTGGTATGATTGCCAATGAGACAACTCTCCACCAGAGACCAAATGACATAGAAGTTAGCAACTATAGGTCACCATAAGGCCTTCAACAATGACCCATACCGCATAGCAAGTTATAAAAGGCCCTGAAATGACAAATGTAAAACAATTCAAGTGAAGAAACTAACAGCCTGATTTATGTACAAAACAATAAACAAAAAGCAAATACCGGTATGATATACAACAACAAATGACAACAACTGAATTACAGGCTCCTGACTTGGGACAGGCACATACAGAATGTGGTGGGGTTAAACATGTTTGTGGGCACCAAACCCTCCCCTAACCTGGGACAGTGGTTTAACAGCACAACATAAGAACAAACTATAAAAATCAGTTGAAGGGGCTTTACTCATCAGATCAATTCAAAGCACACAAATAATTAACAAAATTCTGAGAGTCATAGTTCATAAGTTTATAAGTAATCAACTTCTAGTTAATACAAAAGTTGAAATGATTCCTTGCTTATTAGTGCAAGGATCATGCACAGAGAACACTTAAATTCCTGTTATAACAACATACAGGTAATAAGAATAATTGTACAGTACTTTTATTTTTTTTGTTAAGTTGTAAATATTTCTTGCCTGACATAAAGTAAATCTGTCAGCAATCATTTCAATTGACAGTTTCCTATTTCAGCATGTGAAGTTGAATGTTTTTGTGGAAAAAATGACATCAGGACAAATACTGTGCAAGCTAATGTCTTTAAAATTGTCAGCCTTTGACAGTATAGACAATTTTCTAAAACTACATTTACCTATGTTTACTTTCATCAAAACCATGTCCTAAGTTGTGGATCACACAGCTGACGAGTACTTTACAAGTTCTTAATCAATTACAGATACTAAGTCTAACAAACCAAATGACTATTAGATTTATTTTTTACTTGCTGGATTTTATCTGACTCTTACAGGTATGAACTGTATGCAGCAGGTGGATTTATATATTTGTTTAATATCTGACTTTTACAGGTATGACCTGTTTTATTTCTGACTTTTACAGGTATGAACTGCATGTAGCAGGTGGATTTATAGATGGTGACGAGTCATCAGAAAAAGTTTCTATTAAGACATTAAGTAAGTTCTAATTGTGTAAATGCAAAGATGATTGAATTATTGTTCTTTTAGAGATGCAAATATAGCAGTAGATATTTCACAATGCCATAATAGTTAGATTGGCATTGCAGGTCTTAGAATGCTCCTTTAAATTCAAATTGAAAAATATATAGCAATTTACAGGGCTTTAAAACTTGCCAGCAACAGCTTAATTGCTACAAAAAAATATAAAATTTGGTTGCATTAGTCTTAAAAAATTCCTTATACTTTTAAAAATTGAGCACCTGTTCAAAATATTTTGAAGAACCCTGACTTTGAACATTATATAATCTTTTTACTGTCGAGTTTTTGACCATATTTCCTCCTCTTGTATCAACTAGTCTCATTTTCACGTTCCACAAATTCCATCTTATTCAGATCAGTTGTTTAAAAGTTTTCAATCTGTGAACCTTGAATGTATCATATAGAAAAACATTACAAGGGAGATAATTTACTATAGTTGAAAGGGTAGACAATTTCTAACATTTGCTAATTATTTGAAATAACAGGTTAATTTAAAAAATATATTTCAAATTTACAATATTTTGCTTATTATATTTTCAATTTGCTTTAACAAAACAAATGTTTTGAAAATGGTTTTCTTGTTTTGTTGAAAGATACTATTTTAAATTCACTAATCGATTATCTTATATGTATTAAATTATTATGATAAAAAATGAAAACTACACTTAATGAATTTCATGCGTCTGAAGCCCTTTTTCTGGATTAACATTCATTGAACACGCTCAAATTCGAATATTTGAAAGCCAAGGATATATAATATCAGAAATAGCTGAAGGGCTATATGACCAAAAGGGACATGAAAAATAGCCAAATCCATCTAAGGTCAACTTTAGTTTCTTTATAATTTATATAAAGACAATTATAGAAAGGTCTGTTATAAATCATGCCAGTATAAAAATAAATCCTAGTGAAAAGAAAACATAAGTTCCATGAAAATTGAAGTAAAAGTGTATCACTTTTACTTTTTACCAAAACAAGCTTGAAAGTATAGCACCCATAAATTCTAACAATATTATTTGATAAGTTAACTCTTCACAGAACTTTTTCTATATTTTCAGATGCATTTAACAATACATCAGAGGAAATTCATTTAATTACAGCTTGTATTTGTGGTTAGTATAGTACAAATGGTATTAAACAATTGTTAGGTCTTTTAAAGGTTACATAATTTTATTGAAATTTCTCAATAAAAGGAGAAGACATGATTTGAAATAGTATTGTCCCTAAAAATGATTTCAATACACAAATTTGTTTTTGCAGGTTATACAGCTATGAATGTCAGTGATTACAACTAGATGATTCATAAGATTACATCGTAAAAAATATTTTGATTACTTAGCGTTCAAATATTTAGAAATAATATTAAGCACTAATTCCGCAACCTAGCAAATCTCTCTAATAACTTTCCTCTTAATGATGTCTTGGTCAATTTGGATCATGAAGTCACAGATGTTTCCTAAAAGCCTTCCTTTAGACGTAAAAAAGAAGAGATATGCCCTGAAACAGTATCCAAGAATCATTTGTGGTGAAATTACAGAACTGAATAATACAGAAAATGAACCTACCCCTTATAAAAATGTAAATATGTTTGCAAGCAATTGAATATATTTTCTACTGTTTTCCAAATTTAATATAGATTGATTGAATTTAAAATTTAGTTTTAAAAAGTTGGCAGGTTAAACCTTCTAAAACTCAGCAAGGCAATTCTGAAACGCTATTTGTCGCCATTACTGGACATCACAAAGGTTCCCGTAAAAATTTGACGCCATAATAGAAAATATCTGATACCACAATGGAAAAGTGATTGTTTTATGACGTCAATAGTTCAATAGGTGCAGATTCTCGGGTCAAGCCGCGCAGATTTCCAAATAGCGATAAGGTCTATTGAACAAAGATTGCATGTTCACAGAAATAGTTGCCATGTTGTCTACTTCTTTCTTACATTGATGATTACCAATCTCTTTCTTTTTGCTTATTTTTTTTAAAGTGAACTCAAACTTTTTTTAATTATACATATCCTTGAACAACTTCATTTCTTATTTTACAGATTTAAACAATGAAGTAAAGAAAGGCATGAATTTCCCTGTAATATATGGATTAGGTTGGTATATATTGATTTGTTTAATTTTTGTGCAGGATAATTTGATGTATTTGGCATTTGTAATGTTTTTATGTTCTAAAAGGTTTTAGAAATGAAATTGCCTGTTTGAATATTGCACATACAGATATCCCTTCATTGTACTACAATGATTACTCTAACTCTTTGGCAATTTAACCCCGTTCTGGACAAAAATTTAATCACCGTGTGGTTGCTGATGATCTCAGAAGATGATTGGATGAGTTTAAGGGTCGTCACCTTTATCAGCTCACTGGATGAATCAAAATGTGCTAATAGGTGTTAATTTCTAAGAAAATGTATTTTTCATATTAATGTGCACCATCTATTTCTAATCATTACTGTTATGGGGTGTCTTCAATAACAAAAAAGACTGACTCAAACATGCATTATTTTATGATATCAGCTTTTCTTATATAATTATAGAACATCTAATTCAAGAATTTGATGTTGAAAAATATTCAACAAGTGACTGAACAGCAGTTTTTATCAACTCTAAAACATCTATGAGGGAATCATGGTTTACTATGAAAAAAGTAGCCAATAAATGTATCAACAAATTAAGGCTTTTAAACACACTTAAAATTTTTTATTATCATGAGCTTAGAAGATTAAATAAAAGGAAAAACAAATGTTTCCAAACAAGCTGTCAAAACTATGCTTAAATAAAAGAAGAATGTGTCTGAGGAAAGGAATGCCCCCGCTCAAGCTTCAAACAAACAATAATGGGACAGATGGAAAGACGGAAGGACAGATGGTCAAGGGTAACACTTAATGCCCCCGCTCAAGCTTCAAACAAACAATAATGGGAAGGATGGAAAGACGGAAGGACAGATGGTCAAGGGTAACACTTAATGCCCCCGCTCAAGCTTCAAACAAACAATAATGGGACGGATGGAAAGACGGATGGACAGATGGTCAAGGGTAACACTTAATGCCCCCGCTCAAGCTTCAAACAAACAATAATGGGACGGATGGAAAGATGGAAGGACAGATGGTCAAGGGTAACACTTAATGCCCCTGCTCAAGCTTCAAACAAACAATAATGGGACGGATGGAAAGATGGAAGGACAGATGGTCAAGGGTAACACTTAATGCCCCTGCTCAAGATTCAAACAAACAATAATGGGACCGATGGAAAGACGGAAGGACAGATGGTCAAGGGTAACACTTAATGCCCCGCTCAAGCTTCAAACAATTAAGGGACGGATGGAAAGACAGAAGGACAGATGGTCAAGGGTAACACTTAATGCCCCCATCGCCTACGGCAGAGGGCATAAAAATCTACCAAATCAGGGATACACTAAAATTTAAGTGGATTTGTCATTATCCCTTCTTACTATGGGCAGCCCATTCCTGTTCATGCTAATTTTACTTTAATTTAATTGACTTTGATTTCATTAATTTCAGCTGTAAATGTAAAGACAGGAGATATATACAGAGGTACATTCCTAGATCATGGACCAGATATGCCTTTAAGATCTGCTAGACACTTCACAGGAACTGAAGAAGTAAGATTCAAGTTATTTTGATTTTCACAATTGTTCAGTAGGTAAGATTCAGTTGTCATCTGTTAGATAAGAATTTAAAAAGCGTTTACACTAAAGAAGTAGATGCAATGGTTAAGTGACTCATTTAGCCCAGAAATGTTACAAAAAATTCATTGTTAAAATGATTGATCCATCTAGCAATGTATAAACTGACTGATTAATTGATGATAGCTTAATGTTGTGTCAGTGCAAAAAAGCCTCATCCTTGGCCCCTTTTCTAATATTAACCGGTTAGAAGGAGTACATTTTTTAAATCAGACAAAAGGTTCATCAGTTAAAACAATTGCTAAAGATGCTCTAACTGATATAAAAATCAATGAAAATAAAGGAATCCACAGTATTAGGATTTTCACTGAGATTCTATTTCAGAAGAAATGCAAACTTCAATAAGTTGGAGACTTTGAAAATTTGGTACCTACATTGTTTAACATAGGTCACTAAAAATTTACAGAATAGTTGATGTTGCAACTTACATTATAAAATTGTTTTGTTATTGATTTACTCTAGTTTTTCTGATGTCTTTCAATGCAGTTTAAATTGTCTCCCTTTATGGTAAGAATTAAACTTTTTTTCAGGTGATAAATATTTATGACCACAGAAAAAGTCAGATCCGATTAGAGCCTATTACATACAGTACTATGGATGAGATAGAATTACTGTGTAGAATGCCTGACCTATTTATTAGACAGGTTGGTCATGACTAAAAGTTTATAACAATTCAGTACATGCTATACAGTGAACTGTTCTGATTGAAAACTAAATAGACAAATATTTTTTTTATGTATTGCTGTTTCTATAGATGCCATTAGAAAACAAATCAGTCGATCTAGTTTGATTTTTTGTGTTTTTTGGTATGTTACAAGTCTGTAAGTGTTCAGTTCAAACTGACCATTTTATGGTCTTAAAATGTATAGAATTATTATAATGTTTATTATTATTGAAGTAACAAAGAATAGAAAGCTGACATGTATGTTACTTTGTATGCTTCATTTGACTTCTAAAGTCCAAACAAAACAATGCTCTCATATTCCATTCAGTAAGACTGTACAAACATGGTTGTTATTAAATTAAATATAAAAAGTTATCACTGTGTTTTTAAGTATATGATTGATAACTGAAACATTATTTTTCATATCAATATGGGTTTTCTGTAGCTATAGAAAAAAGGCCATTTTGTGATATTTGTTTAATAAAACTCTGTAAAACAGTAACCTTGCAATATTGGTCCTTCACCTTGTAACCAGATTTTCTTAACATTTTCCAGCATTTATCTACATCACCTGACCAGGAGCCTCCCCACTTTGAGGCCTCAGTAAGAGCTGCTCTGGTACAGATAAGAGATTATCCAGATCCTAAAAAGTCCATGTTTGCTGATGGTAAACCTAGATGTTATAATCTGGAATCAAATGGGTCATGGACAAAAGTATGATGAACAGAACTGTGATCAAATTAATATGTGATATGACAGATTTTTTTTTCTATTAGATAAGAACAATTATCATGATAATTGTTAATATTATATACCATTTTCTGTTGTAGGACAGCAAGCGCATCTAAACTTTAAAACTTTATTGCTATCTTTCCAATTATAGATTAGGATTGAAATTCATAAGATTATTGGAATTTTCTTCTAACTGGTCAGATCACACAACAGCCAAGTCCTCTTAGAACCACCTGAAAACTGGCCTTGGGGTCATAAAAATTTTGAGCACGATTATCGTATATTTTGTTCTCAGACTTAAAAATCAACCAAGTAAAATAATAGATTTGGTGTTTCAAATTTTGTACACCAAGTACTGACTTTTATGACCAAGAGCCCAGGCATTCAAATTATCAATGAAATCCAGTGTTTAGAAGTCATGATTGCTTGTAGATTAACTTGGAACTTTAGATAAGCCTTGACCATTATCGTATGGGGTAAGAACTTAAAACATTTCATGTATCATTTATATGTCTTAAGCAACAGAATGACAATTTAAAATATGTCTCTTGTATAAAACATGACCATTGTTTTTTCTATTTATATAATGTAAAGTTTGTTTAATAACATTGGTTATATATTTCAGTACAATAAGGTCACACACAATTAAAATGTAAACTTTTTTTAAAAATTGATATGTAAACTGGGTGGTGCCCACACTGAATAAAATTCCAAAAGGCCAAAGCACTCACTAACTTACCATAAATGTCCTCTAGAAAAAAGTGCGTATTATCCTTATGATTCTCAACACAAAATTATGCTATGTGATCATTTATAGGCTTTGCATCACAAATCCTATTCAAGTATTTGTAGATATGAAAATCATATAAGAACGATATATACATAGTTTATAAGTTATGTTAAAAGATTATTTTTTTTCTCACCAAATGTAAGCTGTGATATAAGGTTGGTCAGTTTGATCAGTCTTACATTTATGTCCTTTTATCATTATTTATTTATTTTTACTCCATTTAAAGTTATGCAGTTTATATATACTTTTGAGAAAATGAAAAAAAAATTATTCATGTTTTCAATCTAAATAAAACAAAATATTCAGTTATATTTACATGCAGAATCAAAAGTATTAATCATTCAGTATTGAATTTTATTTTTTAAAAATTTTGTATATGTAGTTCTATATATATTTTGGAAACAATAGACTTTTTAGTCAAAGATGCTTCAAATTTTTGGCAAATTTGAAAAAAAGGTAGGTCTTTTAAAAAATTGGTTTTATATTGTCATATTTACATGTATCAGATCTTTCTATGACCAAATATAGAACAGGATTGGACATTATATTAAAAAAAATCTAGAACCATTTTGTACATGTCCATTCTCTCATGTATAAGGGATCATAGATTTATTCTTATGAGGAAGCTCCGAGCATGCTCGGAGGATGCTCGGAGCTTTTTAAGTAGGCTCTTCTCAGCAGTTTATGTGACAATAATTATCATGATCCATTAAAATGTCAATCAAATTTATAGCACTTCTATAATAAGGAAAGTAGAGCATTATAGAGGAAGCTCAATTAACACCTGTGTAAACATCTGGTCTATTCAAATACATTTTGCATGAAATTTTACAAAACTATAAAATAGATGAGAAATTCTTTAATAGTACTGTACAATGCTTGGAAAGAATGATCAAGTCCTCACAGAAAGAAAATGTTTTTAAAACATTTTCTTAATAATTATCAATCTTTTTCAATACAAAAAAAATAATCAAATTTGATATTTAAAATATAAATATATTTTAAATCTATACTACAAAAGTTATCAAAGACAAACTATGGTTATTGATTTATAACCATACTACCAAAACATAGTACATTCAGTTTCATGTGAAAAAGGGTTGATTTTTTTTTATCTTCCATTTAATTTGACAGTTGTTGGAAATTAACCCTCCATTTCATTGCAGAAAAGTGTTTTTGAGACGTAAACATGTATCTTGGGTGTTTCAAAGCAATAAAAAAAAATTATTTGGTGTTCTATAAATATTTTGGAAATTTTAGGGTACATGGCTACTAAAGCTTGTAAACAGTTAAAAAAAAGGGGGAGAGAATTTGGTGATGTTTACTTTCTTATATGCACTGAAAAGTTATGTTGTATTGTTACTGTAGTACAGGACAGGATAAAACTTTACTCATGTCAAGTAATTCTTTATTTAAAACATAGATAAATTCTGTACATTTTTTTTTTAAATACCAATTAAACAAAGACTGATAAGGGAAAAACAATTTTATGTCAGATTTTCTCTAAAGTACAGGACAGGATAAAACTTTACTCATGCCAAGTATTTCTTTATTTAAAACAAAGCCAAATCCGCACAATTTATAAAAATGCCAATTAAAGAGAGACGTACCAGAGGGAAAACAATAGTGGAATTACCCCCTCAACTTTTCCAAAAGTAGCCATATTTTCTATAAAAGAACTAAGTTTGCTATTTTATAAAAAAACATATTATCATTGTTTAGTTAGAGCCATTACTTAAACAAGTAATTTTCAAAATTACCTATACAAGTTATGTTGAAATATATTCAAATATTACTTCTATATCATGAATATAAGTAACTTCTGTTAATATTATTTTTATAGGTTCATTCATACAGGTTTTACTAGCTTTAACAAATTTTTACAGACATCTGGTTTGTTTTCCTCTTAAAATATAAAACTATTTAAATCCTCCTGAAACACTAATTGCCTTTCTGATGCCACACTTCTTGGTCAAAGATTGGTCTCTTGGGGCTATCAAAATGTCATTTTCCCTGAAAATCTTAGAGATAGACATATATAAATAGATGGAACCTTGTGATTTAATAAAGACTTGAAGTTATTTATAATTTGTAATCTTAATCAAAAACAATTACATATGTTCCTTAAATAATTGTAAGTACTAAGTCTTTCAAAGATGTATAAAATAATTTATAAAAGTAATATTTTTGTCATTATTTTTAAAGTAACCTCTCTATACTCATCTCAAATTGGACAAATACTTAATTGTATTTAATGAAATGATATTAAAATTCTTAAAAACCTACATTTAGTCCATGCTTCTTTTGACATTTAAAATAACTATTGAGTTATCAAATAATTTTTAAAAACAAAAAATACCTATATATAAGTAACCAAAAAAAAAATAACTTGTTTAGTATCACCCCCTGACTGTTGTTTGTGTCTAGATAACTTTTATGTATCATATTATATAATATAAACTATATTTAAATCATATCATCTAATTATAAAATTTGAGAGTTTTTTCAATATAAAAAAAAGGAATTATTATTAAATATAATAAGTAATTATTTAAATCACTTTTACTTTTTGTGGAGACTTGAGATTTATTTCCAAGCATTACACAGTTCTGTTGAAGAATTTCTAATCTATTTTATAATTTTGTAAAATTTCATGCAAAATGTATTTAAATAGACCAGATGTTTACACAGGTGTTAATTGAGCTTCCTCTATAATGCTTTACTTTCCTTATCATAGAAGTGGTGTAGATTTGATTGACATCTTAATGGATCATGATAATTATTGTCACATAAACTGCTGAGAAGAGCCTACTTAAAAAGCTCCGAGCATCCTCCGAGCATGCTCGGAGCTTCCTCATAAGAATAAATCTATGATCCCTAAACTCCTTTTCTTGTAGAAAAGACTTCCTTGTAGGAAACATTGTGTAGATCATGTTGTACAAATTTTTGGTAATTTAATGAAATAAAAGATATTTAGAAACTCGAGTGATTTCCTTATTTTACTTTTATACAGCCATGACAATATTTCAATTATATTTTTTTGTTTGTTAGCCAAGTAGCCAAGTTGTTGACTTGGCTTATAATATGTTGTCTGGGTGTCATCATATAGATTTACAGACAATATATTTTGATCCATAAACAATATCTGTACAAAACTTCGTTAAATAATGATATATAGGGTGACGATGACCCAAATTCAGTTAGAGGTCAAAGGGTAAGGTAACCACAGGAATTGATAGAATGAAATTTAAGCTAATATCCTTTTATAAACCATATGTCTAGCCTTCACTGTACTTTGCCAGAAAATATTCTCTAAAAGAACAAGACCCCTTATAAACAAGAAAATCTTTACCCATCTTTAATGGATAAAAGTATGTCTTCTGATTTTTATGTCACTGGGTCAAAGCAGCAATTAATATAATGAAATTTGTTTTTTTTTATAAATATCTTTTTAACCATGCTTCAAGTATACTTTTTTGTCTCATTGGCATATTCCCTAAATCTATTTTCATTCATATAAACTATGATTAATTTTGGTATAGTATTAAAAATTAATATTTTAGATATCTTATGACCCATATTTATTTGTAAGGTGAAAGGTGAAGGTCAAATTCTGAAATGGGGGTTAACATTTTGGTTTCCTGTTGATATCTTATATATTGAAGTGACATTAATTGTCGAAATCCAGATATGGTGTACTAATTTTTGCACCATTTGATTGCGGTATACCATCTTTTCCTGAAGTTTATTGTTTTCTGTTTGGTATTAAATTAATAGTTAAGATCCATTTTGTTACATCTGGTGATCCGTTTATTTGGCAATCGCCAATGGCAGTCAGCAGGGTTTAAGAACATCCGTTGTTCGACCTGCTTGTCAAATGCGTTTTGTTAAAATATACTTTTTCACTTTTTTTGGTCTTTTGGAAAATGCTGTTTGTGCTGTATTTAGACCCCTCATCCAAGAAATTTGTTTTGCATGCACACGTATAAAAATTGCGGCTTTTATCCAACCTAATCATAGGTTTGAACGTTGTTTTCAATTTAGACTTGTATATTTATTATATCATATACATATATTTTTTTTAACATAAATAAACTACATGTACATGTCCAATTTCCAATTTAGCTGGAAAATAATACTTGGAAGGGAAGGGTACCTATTGAATTTTTGGTCAGTGGGTCATAGTGCCTATGAATAAAATTTTCAGTTTAAGAAAAGAAATAAACACACAATCATGGATGTCTTTCTTTCTTGGATGACATATGTCATGATCTGTATTCTGTTATCCAACAATTAAATATCTGACATATGCCCACACATGGCAATATATTGCAAAACTCTACAATCATCATAAGCATTTGTGAAACGGAATGTGCACAATTGAAATACCTTTCTCTGAAAGTTTCATTAAAATTCATTGTTTAAATGGAGTTAAATCTTAATATAAACGACCATAAACGAAAGATAAAGTCAGTACTTTGTTTTCCAAGAGACATATAATATATTATGCAGGTATTACTGTTCAAGTGAAGTGGATGAGGTCAAGATTTGAACTTTCATGGTTAATTTGAACCAAGATAATCAGACTTATAGAAATCAATTCACTGGATCTCTGATATATCCGAGGTCGTGTCAGTGAACGAGGATAGATAAGAGACCCAATTTATTTATTTCACCAATCAGTCAAAACACTGTTAATCAGCTTGCTTCACAATGGTTCAAGTAGTAGATTATCAAATGTATATATACTTCCCCTCAATGTATTTATTGACAGGTATACTTTTTGAAATATAAATATGATTATTTTTTATGCCCCACATAGGGGCTTTATGTTTTCCGGTCTGTGCGTTCGTTCGTTCGTTCGTCCGTCTG